TTTTTTGTCTTGATGAGTGGCAAAATTTTGTCAAATGATAGAGACAGAAACTGGCTAGAAGACGTGAGTGTATATTAGATGTCTGTCATTCTTTCCTAGAGTGATTAAGTTGATAATGATCTGATCAAGACTGCTTCATATTCTGATAAGTTAAACTTAATGTTTTAAGAGATATATGTTATGCTTTTAATCTTATTCTTAATGTCGAGAGCTCTTAGTAGTTCTTTTATTGCATTTTAAATATAACTTTCAACAAATTTCATGTTCGCTATTCCTGTGTACATGCCAGTTGATTGAATTAACTAGTCATGTTGTAGAATATAGTATAATGTTAGGCCACACCAATTTATTTCCTTGGTTAACGGATTCGCCGCTTGCTTTTTTTTGCCGAATGAAAATAAAAATAAACTAGAGTTCCACGATCTCATACCTTCGCCAAATGATGTTAGCCTTTATGAATAAGAAATATACTAATCAGCCTGATTATGCAAATAGGATCCTCAATTGCATGAATTATATCAGTCTGTTGATCATATTCTCCACCAAAAGACAGTCTTATCTTAACAAAGAATGCCATTTTCTCATAAATTATGCAAATGTGGTCCTAATTTGAATACGTTATGTTTAATTATGTTCACCTTCACTTAACTTTCAAACACCCCAAGTATGAAATTCCAGGCAGTTACCACTACGCAATTATAACATTTTCTCATTAATTATGCAAATTAAGTCTTCATTTGCATAATCAATATTTGCCTGCGTTTCTCTCGTTCTTAATAACATATGTTACAAGCTTGAACTTCCTATCATGGAATGCAGCTGATTTATAGAATTTCCTCATTAATTATGCAAATTACATCAATATTCGCATAATTGTAATATCATTATGTCAAGCATCACTTAAGCTACCTACATACCAAAAATCATGATGATCCATCAATCGGTTCTTGAGTTATCCTCTTTTAAACATTTGTCCTTTAAACCCCCCTGCAGTTTTAGAGCAAGCCGCTAAGGGGCCTAAACTCACGTCACTTCTTCCCCAGCACAAGAGCTACCTACCATCCAAATTTCATCACCACAGCATGTCTGGATCTTGAGATATCAAAACCGGAAGTTCAGCTGCAGTACCATAACAAGCCGCTAGGGGGTCCAAAATCTAATCATTTTGAGGTCTCATTAAGACCTACCCATCTACCAAGTATCAAGACAATCCATCAAGGCCTTCTCAAGTTATCGTGTTGACAGACAGACACACACACACACACACACATACACGAACGCCCCTGAAAACATAACCTTCTTGGCGAAGGTAAAAACGTCATAGTTTAGACCCCACAGGCCGGTAAAACCCTGAACAGGGAGACCTCAATGAAATTGCTGCAGTTGATACAAATGTCGCTAGAGGCGCTCCTGCACACATAGTCACATGACGTAAAGTAGCCAATCGTGGATTGTTTTACTTTCTGACCAATCAGATGCGATGTTCTGGAACCATGTTGGCTCAGTCATTTGTTTTGTTCTGGGGAGCCTCATGGCGGACAAAATTTGTGGCGGAAGCTTAAATTGTTTGAGAAAGCTGGAACTTTGGATCAAGGCAGAATCTAGGTACAGTACATGTAAAATTGAATAAATTTTGTCCCCTTTAAAGTTAAAATTGCTTGTGAGAGTTAACATTCGTGTCATGTTTTCGAGTACATATGATGATGGTGGAACTTGGAAGTAACATGCTAAAACTTGTTTTCTGCATTTTGCTCGTGTACGAAAAAGATTATCAACCTAATGGTGTGGATAGCAAATAAAACACAATACGGTACATCCTCTCTTGTCTTTTGTTTCTTTCCCAGTATTTTCGTAACTTAATAAGCAGTCTGGATTTCACACTACATGGCTGTATGGCAGGTAGCATCAAATTTTTATTTTTATTTTTTTTTCGCCCGCCCGCTCCATTTTTTTTCTACAAAAATCCGTTAACCAAGAAAATAAATTGGTGTGGCCTTAGAAGTAGATATAGATATAGTCACATACCACTGTATTTTCTTTCTATGTTGTTTGTAACTGCAATTAGCCCTCGGGCAAGTATTTGCAATAAACTTTCTAATCTATTAAACTGAATGGGTGTATGTAAATATGTGACATTTGATTAAGCCAGTCATGCAAATTTTAAAACATAAAGGTCTTCATTAATTTATTAATCTTGACCTCCACAAAATGATTAACCACTGAAAGAAGTAAAAGTATAGACTGAAGCAAAACTTGTATAAATTGAAGTGAAACATAATTTTTGTAGAAAAAATACTCATAAGGCAAAAATGCAGGCCTAAGCATTCTATAATAGCCTCAAGTGCTATATGGTAGGAGCCATGACGTCAACATACCAGGATGGTTTGTGATTCAAACAGTGAGGCCACACCAATTTGATTTGTTGGTCCTCGGAATCGCCTCTTCATTTTTTCCTGATTTGCAAAGAAAAAAAGAAAAGATTCTGGTTCTGAATCAACTCAAATATCTAGTAATTAGAAATAACGACAAAGGTTTCTGAACAGTTTTTAGCATGATCCATACATGTACTTCTCAAAGTTTGAGTGGTACAGGTTAAAAAATTTGTCTGGTGCAGGTAATTTTCAACTTGTCACCTGGCACCAGTGGAGGTACAATGTACATCTATGCAGAAAAAAGTAGTTTAAGTCCTGACTGTAAACTGTTGTTGACAGTTTGTTGCTGACGAGTCAGACAGTGATGAGGAGCTGCCCTGGTGCTGCATCTGTAACCAGGACGCCGTCCTGACATGTCACGGCTGTGATGAGGACCTGTACTGTAGGAGGTGCTACAGGTATGCTATCAACACAGACTAACAAACTACATTGGATGACACTTCGGGGACAAAAGAAATTATGTGCAAAATGACAAATAAACTACCAACTCTATTACCAGTTCAAAAAAGAGCAAGAATGTAGTCAAGCCTTCAAATATCAGAGTTATCAACTAAGGATTTCTTTCCTAGGCCTATTGTAGAGTGGAAATTGTCATGTATATGTATCTATAGCTGGATACATTGTATCTACAACACTTGCAGCTAGATGTGCAAAGGAGAGATGTGACAAGTCATTCAGTATGATTTATGTGTACATACCGGTATTACCAGGTGCTGTATGTCATGCCATGTGTTTGTGAAGCTGGTGTGTTATGTATACGTCCAAGGGCAGTTATATCACTATCAGCTATACAGATTTGCTGTATTGGCAGCTTCTTGTTATTCAAACATTCATTTTTGTTTCCTGTTCCTGTTTCAGAGAGGGACATGACCGTATGGACATGGAAGATCACACCACTTCCCCATACAAACCTCCAGCTAAGGGCAGATGATTTAGTAGTAAGAGTAATTCTCTCTGTCTTCACGGTACTAACAAAATTTCATGGTCTGAGGAAAATAGACATGTTCACTGAACTTAAATCTTCATGGTGGGGATGAGAGTGGGTGAAATACAAGATTGGTAACACTAACAGTAAGGATATTATGTTCAAGGTACAAAAGTGACCATGAAAACTGTGAACATTATTATTTTTAATAGTACCGTGACAAAATCAGGAATAATATTACATTATATACAGTTACTAGTAAGCGAAAGAGTCAAAACTAGTAAGTTTATGAGACTCAGTGAAAACCTTGCTCAGAAACGAAGTTTTAATAACAGAAAGTATTTACATGTGTCTTATATATAGTATTGGCAAGTTTTCACACAGTTGCAATTTGTTTTACAACATTGTTTTTTTTGTTGCTTTGAAATACTGACTGCTGATATTAGAAACATGAATTGGGTAGGGTAAGGTACATGTATTATGGCAGCTTTTTGTATGACAAGTATGACAAGAATTGAGATAGTGTAACATGCATGACCTTAATATGTAAACGTTTCTAGTATAGACTCAAGTAAACTACAAAACTGAAGTGAACATGTGTAACATGTAAAGAAGAACACAAACAACTACAATGATACAACTGTACATACTAACAAGAGTACACTGTCATGCATAGTGATGCATACCTAAACCCAATTTTAGGTTCAGGTCTGGATTCAAGTCCAGAGGTTTAGGTTCAGTTCCGGACATGGCATATACAAAATTGCATGTTGGCAACCTTGCAATGTTGTCTGGGTGAAACTTTAGCCACATAACATGGAGGCCGGTACCTGACGATGCCTGATGGCAATGTACAGTCTAGTATTCTTCATTTTGCAGCAAAGATTTTGCAATCTACGGAAGGTTTTATGTGGTTTGGAAAGAAAAGGGGTATGTGAAATGGTCTTTTATGGTAATAAGTCCGGACTCAGTTCTTGACTTTTAGGTTTTTTTGGACTTGAACCTAAACATTCTTACAAGTCCGGATCCAAGTCCAGCAAACCGGTATGCATCACTAGTCATGCATGCAGATAACAATACATTAGGCCACACCATTTTTCTAGAAAAATAATGGAGCGGGTGGGCGAAAAAAAATAAAAATAAAAAACAGGCCTAGGCATCCTATTATGGCCCAAAATGGTACTATAGGAGCCATGAATTCAACACACCAGGCTGGTTCAAAATTTAAACAATGAATTTAGAACTTTTATGATACCACTGCATTGAAAGATGGATTAACTGTAACAACTAGGAAGGAAAGGACTGTTTTCAACTGTTCAGGGTGAAATATGAGCATTTTGCAGTTGAGTCTGAATTTTTTTTTTTTTTTTTGCAAATCAGAAAAAAATGAAGCGGGCGAATGCGTTAACCAAGAAATTAAATTGGTGTGACCTTACATGGAATTGGAATACATATAAATAAAGTACCATCTACCAGTTGATATTGGTAAAAGTAAGGAAAGCATACTAGAAGCTTCTTCAAATACAAGAAACATTCATGTCCGGGCTCACCATAATGCTGCAAATTCTATATGCAAATGTACAAATATATACAAAGGATTTGAAGTCCGAAGTTCTAAGTTAAATAAAATTTTTAAGTCATAAAGGTACATGTATGTGATTATAGGAGGGTATACCAAGTCCAGTACCTTTGCATCTACATATTAAAAATTAAGTGTCCTATCTCATATAGCAGCATTTGCAAAGCAATGCCTCATTACAAAAATTTAATATATTCATCTCTCTACTTACATACTTTTGTACATTGAATTTCATATCCACACATTTCATTGTATTTTCATTACAATGCAACATGTGTGACTGACTAACCGAGGCCCTTTTCCCACTAGGATACAATTGTCCACATCAAGCTGAACAGGTTGGAAACTGGTCAACAATCTATTTGACTTTATCCGTACAGTTTTATCCTAGTGGGAAAAGGGCCCTAGACTACAAATACATGTACTTATAGCTAAATCATGTTCCAGTCACCCACAAGAAGGCAATGTGTATTACTAGGCAATCATTTTTAAATGATGTTTAAAAAAACACTGCACAAGCCCACACTAACACCAACCTACCCTCATCACTTCAGAGCATCATGGCTTACATGTATTTCTGACAGTTTGACACATATATAAAAATTACTGCACTCTATCTGGAACAACATTTTCAATAATCCTAGGATGAATAAAAAAACAAAAACTGCAACAGGAGTATTACATCTTATATCTGGCAGTATATGTTAGCTCCTTGGATGTTACAAGTATGGCAATTACCGGTACTGTTATTTTAATTACACTGTAACCCTTAAGGTGCCTTTTAATTTTTCTCTCAGGTGAAATGAATTTTACAAATATTTCGAGACATTTCTTCCCTAAAGCATGTACTCTGACTTAAACTATATCTTTCTTTTCTTTAACAACTATTTCCATCAAAGATAACTTCCAAGCTCCTTTTCACTGAATACATGTATATTTCTTTGCAACCACTGACAGACAATTTGGCACTCCTGTCATCTTGGCTAAGCCCTTCATCAAAACTGTATATTAACCCACTAGCCAATACAAATTTGGTGCCAAACCAGGGCTCTAGCCAGCTTGAAATTTTGTTCCGTCAGCCCATGATCATGATCGGATGTGGGTGTTGGAGCGCCAAAGGCACTCGCAATCTATAGTGGAGGCATGCTCCCCCTAGGAATTTTTTGGATTATCAAGCATTCAAAAATGCAATTTTCAACATTTTGAGAGGCAAATCATGGGTTGAGAGTGATTGTTGCTGACCCTTTGGATGTATTTATTATATATTTTTTCCCCAACATTTTTGTTGATTTTGTCCCTCAAGGTTGACGGATTGGTTTAAAAAATTTTCCGTCATACGCCACATATTTCTGATAAGGCCATGTTGATTTGATTATATGGATGACATCCTCTGGGAACCCCAAAACTGATGCGTGCGTGCGAATAAAAAAAAGTTTTGCATAATAAAGCTTTCATTATGAAATCTACGTGGTCATGAAGGTTGAACAAATGACACAAATGGTTTGGAAAATAATCTACAAACTCTTCAAATTTATTTCTTTACATTTTTGTAATTTTGGGGGGACATTTGGCATGATTTTGGCATTTGATGACATTGGTATCGTTTTTTGAATATTCTTTTTTGCAACTTATGGTACATATTAGCTCATTTTACAACTGTTTTGTACGATTTACACTATGGTTGAAACTTTTTTTTTTTGGAAATGGCCAAAAATTCATGCGTGTGCAGATGTCATCATTATAATCAAATCGACATGGCCTCATTGACGGAAAAACTGGTGCTGGCTCGAGCCCTGAGCCAAACAGGTACATGTACCATAATGATCATGATAGCATGTGGCAAGTTTATTACTTTTGAGTAGCTATTTTGTACATCAGTGTCATCCAGGCCGACTGCTAGCACTCTGTGTCTTGGAAGCAGGCCTCGGAGTCGGTGAGTTTGATGACGTTACTGGTGTTCTCGTAGAAGGAGTTATCGATGGACGGGGGCGGCGGCATGGCGCTCAACATGGTGTGCAGCCTCCTGACCAGGAAGTTAAAACTCGGACGGTGTTTTGGGTTGAGCCTCCAACAACTGTACATGATCTGGTACCTGTAGAGATAGTGACATTCAGCACAACTCATGATAATGTTTTACGTACATGTAAGAAGGCCATCCTACGACATTTTTCCTTGACATTTTTCTTATCGGGCCTACATTTGTAAGTTCTTTGATTTAGAGTTATGAACAAATAAGTCCATGTACCATCTTTAGTTAATAACAAAAGAATCTAACTTAATCCATTAAAATGAAGTATAACCTTTTTTAAGGCTGTTAGGGCAATGGGTCTAGCTATATATTATATATATAGGGCACTGTATTGAAAGGTGGAGCCCATCCCTCTCCTTCCACTACCTTGTATCTCCCAAACTGAAGTCAGGTACCCATTTCACACCTGGGTGGATTGAGGAAAGTTGTGTGAAGTGAGGAAAGTTACTTTCCCAAGGAAACAACGTCTAACCTGGGATCGAACCAGTGACCACTCGATCTCATGTTTGCTAGCCTAACCACTTGGCCATTTGACATCTGATTCAGTTAATCCAGTAAAATCTTGAAAACAGAGCACAAGTTCTACATTTGTACAATCATGTCTTGTACTTACAGCTGGTCGGAGCAGTCCCTAGGCTTCTGTAGTCTCATGCCCTTGAGTAGAAGGTCGTACACCTCGTGGTTCGCCACGCCTGGGTAGGGGGTGGCTCCTCGTGTGATGATCTCCCACAGGGTCACACCAAACGACCACTGAAGACAGGATTGGTGAGGTTGGTCATTTAACAATGCCTAAGCAACCTTAGGCCATGTTGATTTGATTACATGGATGACATCCTATGGGAACCCCAAAACTGACGCGAGCGTGCGAATTAAAAAAAAGATTGACAACCGAAGCTAGGTATTCATTTTCACCTATTAGTAAGTGAAGTGAAGAAAGTTGTGTTTAGTGCCTTTCCCAAGGGCACAACATTGGGGCATGTAGGTTGGGAATCAAACCCAGGATCTATGGGTTCCGGGCCACGATAGAATTGGAGTGAATACTATTAGGCAGGTTTGACCGTTCTACTCACCACATCACTCTGTGTGGTGTACACCCTGTCGGCCAGACTCTCCATGGCCAGCCACTTGACCGGCACCTTGACCATGCTGCCCTGTCTGTAGTAGTTCTCACAGTAGATCTTTCTGGACAGGCCAAAGTCTGCAACCTTCACGACAAGCTGCTCATCCAACCTGGTGGCAAGTTACATAATTTACAATTTTAGCAATCTCATATACATGTAGAATGATTGATTGGGAGCACGCAGACACGCCGTAGAACTTTAAGTGCATGTAAAACTTTTTCTGCGTGTGGTCTGCGGATTCACCGCCCATACGTGCAAGTACGGGCAATGCGCGTGCCCCGTACGTACCGTACGTAAGATGCACATGTGAGTATGGCCTCCTTACGGTAAAGTTGCAATCGCACAGAGATCGTACGTTGTAAGCACGTACAACTCACCACTTGCGCAACGATGCGGCGTGCAGACCACACTCTTACAACTTGCGCAACCGTGCGAGTGACGTGCATAGACGCCACTCCTTCCCCACATTTTTAGAAAAACATACCAGACGTAGCCTCCCAATAAAACTTACTGACAAAAAGCACGCATGGCGGGTTGTGACTGGGGCTTTAGCTACAAATGAACAGACTAAAACCTTGACTTACATGCAGTTTCTTGCAGCCAGGTCTCTGTGTAAGAACTCCATCTGTCCCAGGTACTCCATGCCTTTGGCAATGTCCACGGAGAACTTCAGTAAGGTCTGGATTGGCACAAACTGGTAAAAAAAAAGACAAAAGACCTTTAGTTATACATTGTAATGATGTGACATTTTTAAAGAAGTTACATGTACATGTTGTAAGTCTAAACTTTTAACATTTTGAATGTCTTTTAAGTTTAACTTAAAAAACACTTTGGTGTAACAGGCCAGCTTTGCAGGCATGCAACATGGCGGCAGCTAGCTACACATGTACAAGTATTTGACACCGAACGACCTGTTGTTATACTCAATCTTTGCACACATTAGTTTTTGAACAACTGAATTCTTGAAGGTATGACTGTTTTTTGTTCTTTTCTGGGCTGGTATCAGATACTTGGTGGTTGGTATGTCCAACAGACTTATCAGTTATTTTGTACATCATGCACAGTCTGGACATACCTTAGGTTTGTCTGCGAGTCTGGAGCGCAGGAGGAAGGTGTGAAGGTCACCATGCTTCATGAAGGGCAGCACCACCATGGCCTTCACTGGCAAAAATCTTGTCTCAGGAGGTTCCATGATTAAACCTGGGTGGATGTCAATAATTAAAAAGAATGGTTACATCCGTGAAAAACTTCATAGGGTTCACAAGACTCTACAGGCATATAACAAGGTTCTTTATTCAACTACCAGTGGGTTTTTACATCGAAATGTAGCTGTAGTATGTATCACAACCAGTTATTGTGTACAATGTATAAAGAAGGTGACAGAAAGGCACTGAAACGTCGGATGTAAAAATGCACTGGTTGTTGAATAGAGAACCTTGTTACACAAGAATGCTAGTTTTCCTTCTTACGGTAACTACATGTAGCTACAATGTACAATGGCACTTGAAGGCATTGATTTCCCCCATTTTAAAAAAAATCAGTTATCCAACTTAAAATTAATTATCCTGAATTTTTAAAAATCAATTATCCACCTTAAAAATGTTTTGATAAGATCAAAGAAAGCAAAGATTGGCCCAGCCTGAAATAATCTCATACATTTGTAGAAGAAAAAATATCCTACCAATCAGACTCATGATGTTGGGATGGTGGAAATCCTTCATCCTCAGAGCTTCTGTGACAAAGGCCTCTACCTCCTGTTTACTGCTTCTACCTGAGAGGACAATCATGGACATGGAAAATAAAATGTCAGCCATTTACAGACCAACAGCATAATACCGGTGCAATAGCTCAATTGGTAGAGTGCCCGCTTTGTAACTGGGAGGTTGTGAGTTCAAACCCCGGCCGGGACATACCAAAGACTGGTACACACTTCTTTCTCTGCTTAGCACTCAGCACATATGAGAAAGAGTGTGGGAAGGTCAAACGCACAGCACTACCAGCAGACTAGTCCCCTGCTGTAGTGCATTGCACAACTGTGTGTCGCCCGAGGGCTACAGAAATGGATATGGGCACCACCCTACGCTCTGCACAAAGGCACGGGAGACCTTTCTTCTTCTTTCTTATTACAAGAAAGATGTTATCAAAACATTGTTGAGTAATCTGGTCTTTAATCAGTATGACTTACTCTTCATTGTCTTGACAGCCACAGTCATGTACCTGTTTCCCTCCAGTCTCAGTTTGGCTTCTGTCACACACCCAAACTCACCTGTAAGAAATACACGACGTGTTCGTTGAGGGCAAAGTCTTGATGTGTACATTGTACTTCTTCTGACTCATGTCTACATTTTGTATATCTTGTCAAGGGTTATTATTTGGTTAGGGGCATGGCAAAACATGTAAGGATGTCCTACTATAGTAAATAATCACTCAACAAAATGTACATATTGTTCCAAAGTACAAACAAACATTGGACAAACTACTAAATACTGTACTTGTGTAGTAAATACGCATAACTTATTCCAACGTGAGGTGTGTAAACCAAAAATTACACTAAGCTGTATTATAGCTGCAATCTGTTTGAATAACATTTAGTAGCATTTGGCTACCAATACTCCATTGGTTACTGGGTTAGGCAGCAGGGATAATTAATAATAAGGTTAAAGGGGTGGGATGTGTGGAAACATGGCATACAGAGCATGGATAGAAGATAGCATGGGTCCCTCTGTACCAGTAGACTTACAAGTGTTACGATGTCCCAAGGAAATGCTTGGATGGAGAAAAGACAAGTAGCTCTGTTAGAATACACCTAAAAAAAATCTTGTCAATCTTTATTTGCATCTTCAGTAAAGATTTGTGTGGGTTTCTGAGATAAATTTAATCTAACTGAAGTGTGAAACGATATATTTTAAAGATATTAAAAAGCAGTCTGTGACCTGTGTTTGACCTTTGCCTGCCTGAAACTCAATATGTCTACATCATTATTAAAAAGAACTACATGTGACAATCAAATGGAAATTACTAGAAGTATTACATAACTGTAGAAGGTGCGAAAGGGTAGATGTAGTCCCATAGCCTTCTGAGGCCATATATAGGGGCAATAGGTTGTTAATCTACAGTGTCAAGGGCATGGTATTAGAAGGGTAAGCCAATCCCTCTCCTTCCACAGCCTTTTTACCTCCAAAACTGAAGTCAGGTACCCATTTTATGGGTGGAATGAGGAAAGTCGTGTAAAATGCCTTTTCCAAGGACACAAGTCTAGCCAGGGATGCCAGGGATAAAACCGATGACCTCTCAATTTCGTGTCTGCTAGCCTAACACCTTGGCCATTCAATGCCACTATATACATGTTTGTAACTAAGGCCCCAGCAAGTAAATTTTATGGATGATCATCCTCCGCAGACTGCAAATCTAATGCGAGCGGGCAAAAAAGAATAAGGTGGGCCTAAAAACAAAGTTCCTTCTTTTAAAATTTTGACTCAATCATTGTACAAATGGTTTTGTGGGAACATCACATATACACAGCCAGCATCACATATCACTGCATCAAAGTAAGAAACAAAACATTAATTAATAAATAAAATCAGAGCCTTTTCTTGTCTCCTCTCTTCATAGTTATCTGCCATCCACCTTCCAGCATGGCAACAGACATTTTTGTCCATTTTCGGCATGTTGACCACTGTCAGAGGGCAACATTTTTTTTTCTCCAAAATCATGCGAAAATCAATGCGCATGCTGATGTCATCCATAAAAATTACTCTTGCGGTGGCCTAATATAAGTGATTCAAAACTCTCATGTACAAATGTATTGTACTCACCTTCTCCTACAACCTTCCCCACTTCTAACCTTTCCCTGTTGAGCAGCACGCTCACCACACTCTCTGTGAGAGCGGGGGACAGGCGGAAAGATGACACTGCACAATGACACAATAAAGTTTATCAAATATAACCCCCATTATTCTTTATCAACCACATATATCTGCCACTCAGCATATTTCAGAGAATATCTTTAGCTAGTGCGCGCGCACACACACACACACAATACACACACACAATACACACACACACACAGTACACACACAATACACACACATAATATACACAATATATATTCTCAGTGATGTATGACAGACAGTTGTGGCGAGCTAACTTTGTATGCTCCACCTCTACGGAGGATGAATGATGATGATGATGATGATATACACAATACATATGCATGCACACACACAATACACATACAACATACACAAAACACACACACAATACATATACACACACAATACATATACGCAACAATACACACACACCAGGTATATATATATGCACAGTTAGATACGCAGGACTGCATTATACAGGGGGACATTACATTGTAGATCTGTTTAGATTTTTTTTCAGGTTGTGCCCTGGTAGAATTATATTTTGCAAATGTTTAGCTTGCCACTTTTCTAATCCCAGTAAACAAAATTTGCTTTTTATAAAGTCTGTAACATTGTTACAGTATAACTTCGAAACTTCACTAGTCTACAGAGGATACACGAGAAAATTGTAACTCAAGCAACTGGACTATTGTTTTTTTGTATATCTGATCTTCATCTGGATGTCTAGCCTTCGTTGACGCATCTACAGAAGAGCTACCCTGAACATAAAACAAAGAATACACCAGGAGCCAAACCTTCAGCGGCAAGCTTCTTTGAGAAACTCTTGGCAGCCTTGGACTTGATGGGTGTGTTCTGTTGCATCATGGGAACAGTGCTGGCTGTCTCCGGATCTCTTCATGGAGAAAGAATTATAACAATTATTATAATTATTATAACAATGCTCATGAAATAATAGACACTGATTTCTTTTCACAACACAACACCAATTACACAATACATACATGTATAATGACTTTGTTAATATTATCAACAAATATCATCAAAACCAATGCCAATATGCCAACAGATTACTTTTTTTTTTCACATTTCCAAAATGTATTTACACAGTAACTACTAGACTATTGGTTACAAAGTAACATTCAACTGTACTAATGTACACGATTGTATGAGTCATGTTTGTGGAACTATATTTTTGCAGTGGCGGCTGGTGCAGAAGAAAGAAATAAGTCAGCAAATTATTTGTTTGTGGTAATAATAAAATTGTGGTACAGATGTGAATATACATTATCTCAAATTAAAAGTGATTTACAGTAACCAATCTATCTGTGATGACTAACCTCTTGTTGTCCTTGCTGGATCTCCTTTTCCTGTGACACTTACAGCAGGCGTAAGTCAACACGACCATGGTGAGGATCACCCCTGCTATGGACCCTCCGATCACCAAGTCCATCTTCTTCACACTCCACTGGTTCCCGCTGGCCATGTCGTTAATAGGGGAGGTGTCTGGGGTAAAAACATTCAACATTATCAGGCCAAAAATGTACATTTTTGGCTCCTGTGCCCTGGTAGTACAACGAAATGACTTGAAATTTGGTACAAGGATGTCATAGACATGATACATGTACAGGTCTTCTTCTTCTTCTCCAGTCACCACTGCTACAATTTTCCCCTCCAATACTCCGCGCAAGCCCTTCCTCTGAATACATTCCCTTCCTTCCTCTTACATGTACATGTACAGGTAAGCTCATACATGTAGCTATAGGACTTCATTCACACTTTTGGCCTACATGCCTTTAAAATTATTTGTTTCAGGATTTTGGACTATTTTCATAATAAAATGTATATTTAGTCAACTGTGCCATGTTATCTTTTAACTCTGTAACATACATAATTTTCAGCACATGTATATAATCTGGTTGAATATGAATTAATAAGGTAGCAGGGAAAGGACTATGCATAAGGAGAGATATTTCTCAACATTATAGAAACAAGAAAAAAACTGTCACACCCACAAACATGTTGTGTAGACTGAATCTTCATTTTTACACAGCCTGAATGTCTATCATAATAAGAGTACAATGTCATGTACACCATTCAAACAAACTGAAACTAAACATGTCTCTTACCTTCTGCTGGATATCCAACTATGAAAGAACCTCCAGATCCTAAAGTCCACAGAGTGAAAACAAAGTTAGCCTCAAGTTGTTACTTGACTCAACTCTTCAGATATTTAATGCAGACTTTCCCAGTTCAATGTACAGACATTACACTCAGCCTCATAGCTAACCCTGGACCTTCCCTCATGCATTAAGAATGTCTCTGGTTTGCTCACAGGAACATCACACTGACACCGGAAGTCATGAGCAAACTGTTGCCTTGGCAACTATACAAGCCACACCCTAGTTACAACAACCCATCCTCACAGACCTGCCAATTACTGTCAAAGGTTAGAGGTTCTCAACATTATCAATGCAAGGTTAGGAGTAACTTTGTTTTGTGGAATATCACAGTACTGTTAAGGCGCTGTACAGAGAGTGCGAAGTGGAACAAAATGGACGAAATACTAAGTTCAAGAAATGAAACCTTATTGAAAGATTATTTATTTATTTCACTTCTGTATTGATCTTCACTGTGTTACATACATATAATATGATATATTATAATATTTCTTTTCGTTCCATTTTGTTCCATTTTGCACTTTCTGGGGTCCCAGTGTCAAGAGCCTGCCTGTGACATTATAATCACTTTTAAGCCACCACCACACTGTCAAGCATCTTGACAGTGTGGTGGTGGCTTAAAAGGTCTAATTTGTTGATTGCCACCGAATCTTAAAATCACCAGAGAGTCAATCATATTTCTTGCCTGAAAACTGCTTTGGAAGGGGCTTGGTGAACTATGAACATCAACCAATCGCTAATAGTGATGCAGTCATCAAGAGGTCACCAACCTTATTCTGGCCAATAATATACAATGTACTTAACAGCATAAAGAAACATCTGAGTGAGGCAAGCTATTTTCCTAGATGACACCAAAGCATGAAGTCCCTGTCACAAATAGGCAAATAGAACCTTCCAAACACTGCCAAACTCCCCCCAAACCATGTTTGGGAGTAGATCAGGAGTAAGGTTAGTTATGGTTGGCTGGGTTCAGTGAGGTCAGCCACTGTTGGCTGTGCCAGCCAAATGTTTCAAAACGGATTTTGTTGTTGTTCAGGAGTAGGTCAGCGGTGGTCATGGTAGTCAAAATTTAACTCAAATTCAATCCGATTCTGGTCTTGACTGCTCCCAAACACCTACCATGGAGTCTAGATGGTATCCAGACTTCAGCTTCAGGCTTTTTTTTTAGAACAGACGAAAATCAATGTGCACACAAATAAATGTCATCCATAAAATTTGGCCTAAGGCTCACAAAATGGACTATATAATTATATGTTTGTAAAGAGACCGTGCTTACCTGTACCATAGAGCATGATGGGACTGCTCCTGACCCCACCCCCCACCAGGGTACGTGCCCACACCTGCACGCTGTAGTTAGTGGTAGGGTCCAGCCCTCGCAGGACAACAGAGTTGGACGACCTGACATCCTCCACCCTCTAGAACAACAAATGTCAGATACACTGTTGCTTGCAAGTACAGAACATTGGCAGATCGTACTACGGAAAAAACGTAATGTATTGGGCATAACACGATCGGCAGAGGACCTCTTCTGGGGTGAATTTGCATATCTAAGGATGATCACTCATCTATAGTTTTCAAATGGTGTTGGAGATGATTTTGAATGATTTTGATTCAATGTTGACCAAAGATCCAACAAAACTGTGAAAAATCCCAGTTTCATGCAGGTGCAGTACATTCTGCCAATGTGCTTTATGACCTGCTAAACTCAAATGTTTAACTTAAGTTCAAAACAGACAAGTACTGAAGCAGCATATATCTTATAAGTGAATATTTATACAAATGTACAAGGAATTTGATTCTTATTTTCATTCTTATTCATTGGTTTGGCTGAACATATACATGTATGTCAACATGCCAACTACAGTCATGTATGATTACAGTATAAAGGGCCCTTGCACATCACCAGATCACAGGCCTTTGCATCAAATTAAATATGATATATCAAATCAATTCTGATCACATTCATTAAAGGTTATTGAACTTTATCCTTCTTTTAATGCTGATGAATTAATTTATTAGTACTACCATATACCGGGAGACTGTTTGACACAGAGTGCTAAAATTTCAATGTGTTCTGTTTTCTTCCAGTATAGATTTTGACACAATTATCTTTTTCTAAGGTCAATAATCGAAACCTGTTTTGCCTCGCAAGCTCAGTCCTACCGTAGCCTCAAAATGCACACATTACGGCACAAGCACTTGGAATTCCTACGTGCTTGGTAGCTTTCCATGATTTCGTCTGCCTATTTGTGGAGCTTACCCTGTATCAACACCACCAACCCAATCCAGACTGCACAAATATTAGCACAAATGCAGGTCTTCATCAGGTGGTAAAGTTAAACACCAATCAATGAACTTCTAAGTAAGGCCACAGCAAGTAAATTTTATGGATGACATCCTCCACAGAGTCCAAATCTAATACAAGCAGCAAAAAAAAAACAAGGTGGGCTGAAAAAAACAAGGCTTCTACATTTTAAAATTTTGACTCAATCATTGTACAAATGGTTTGATCCAGTGGGAACATCACAAATACACAGCCAGCATCACATATCACTGCATCAAGGTAAGAAACAAAACATTAAATCAGAGCCTTTTCTTGTTTCCTCTCTTTCTAGTTATCTGTCATCCACCTTCCGGCATGGCAACAGACATCTTTGCGCATTTTCAGAATGTTGACCACTGTCAGAAGGCAACAAAATTTCTTCTTTTCTTTTCTAAAATCAGGCAAAAATTAATGCACATGCTGATGTCATCCATAAAAATTACTTGCTGTGGCCTAAGGCATCATGCCATCATGCCATGTAGTTTCATCTATCAACCGTTGGAACACACGGTGGTTTGGGAATCTCTGATATTTAGAGCCTCACTGTTCTATGGGCATCTAATCTACACAAACAGGACCCAGTTGTCTGAGGCCATTGTGACCAAACTTGCGAATCATAATGCTTTAAAATTCTCATCAAATACATTTGTACCTGGGCTTGAGTCTATTTGACTCTTACTTGGCTAAGATAAAATAGAAATCATTGGTGATAATTCTTGACATTATGATAACATTTTATCTTTAATTTGCTCATTGGGACCTTAATAAGAAACCACCAGGCTATGGTCACACCAAATTTTTCAGGTAAAAAAAATGGTAAGCAGATATCATGAAAGCGGATCAGGAAGCAAAACTTGCATGTCTGTATTCACTTTATAAAACTGAATGAAACATGGTCCTCAGAGTTTGCTTTCATCCTGCTTTTATTCCAGTAAAGCCTATTTATTAAAAAAATCTGAGAACCAACAAATTGAATTGGTGTGGCCTGAAGAGGACAAATTCCCGGCCCAAAGCCTCTGATGACCGACTGAACTAGAATCCATAAGGGGAGTGTTACATCTGACACCACGATGTCAGGACTGACCTCTGTGCCTGTGGCTGCATCAGTGAAGCCCACCCTGTAGCCCTGTAAGATTCCGTTCACGTCCGCAGTGGCCACGTGACTCCAGGACACCTCCATGTCAGCTCCAGAACCTGACGGCTGGATGTGGACAGACCCTGGAGCAGCACTGGGCACTACAATAGTAAATGGAGAGACAAATACATTGTAGTATGTGATGATTTGACAAAAAAAAAACTGTTAGAATGGAATGGAATGAATTAATTATATAATGGCACATACTAAGTACAATAGAAAATTATGACACAAGTTTGAGCTGAAATTTCCAGCAGAAGAAAAAGGACATCAAATTTTTTACTTATTGGGATATAACTACAGTCCAAAATTTCGGTACCAGTCATCAAATTTCTTGTGTCGGAAACTGCAGTCCAAAGTTGCTTTGTGATGACTTCTATCTACCAAAACTTTCAAGAAAAAGAAAATATGGTTTACCAAGTAATGCCAAAATAATAGATAAACAGTAAATCTAAATAGGTACTACGTAAGTAATTCTAGCTGTAATCTTGACCCTCCTGCATTGTTGTTTCAAGCAATTGGAGAATTTGCTATTACCAATTTTAAAGCAGTTACAGAATGGTTTCTAGCAGTCCATTGTGTCACAGCCCTGGAATGGTGCCAACCTGGGCAACTGTTTGCTACAGCAGCTCCAGACCACTAGAAAAACTTGACCTTTGCCTTTCTGAGGCTTTCACAAGTCAACCAAGTTAAAATGTCACCCTCAGGGGTGCAACTACAGGTCTTGCAACAAATCAAACTTGAGAACTATGTAATATGTATCAGTCAGTGTTCCAGCCAGCGTCTGTCTTTCCATCATTTCACAGAATTTCCCCACTCATGATAGACAAAAATTTTGCCCAATCCAAAAACCAGCATGTAAAGAAAGGAAAAGAAAGAGATGGCATTAAACTAAGCTTAGTCTACCGGCAAGATTTGCCCCTCAAACTGCAGGAAATATCACTTCAGAGGGTCAAGATTTCAAAATTATCCCAGGGGAGCATGCCCCCAACCACCCAGAATTGCGCTCGATATTGTGATGTTACGTCAAACAAGATTGACATGACATAAAAAACATTTCAGGCTAGCTAGAACACTGCTATATATTGATTATAATAAGTAGACTCAAAATGTAAAATACTGCCACTTATATTTCAAGATAAAAAGTGACAGAAATACAACCTGTTTACGACTACATTGTAGGTTGAAAATTAATGCCCTTACTCCCTCTGCTGTTCTCCCTACCACATAGTCACTCCAGCCAGACTGTCCGACGATATTTTCCAAGGCCACATGGATGGTGTAAGATGTGTAAGGCTTCAAGTTGTGTATCACAACACTGTTTGGAGAGGTTATTTCTACTTTTGTTCTGTTCCATTGCAAAGAACCATCAGGTCCCTTGTTACTGGTCTCTGCAAACTGAAATAAAATAACAGATTCTGAAGCTGTTAAAGTACATTGTACTATATCAAAAGGGAAACAAATTTTATAGAAACAGACAATAACTACAGTTATTATATGTATCTCAAATGACGAGGCACAATTCTGTGAGTTAGAGGGGGAGACAAAAGCAATACAAATACTGTACATAAACATTATCACAAAAAGGATGATTTTGTATATGAAACTAAACGACTGTTACAAAGCACCGGGTTTGACAATAGTTTGGGTTGTCAAGAAATCGCATGCAATGGACTGTCAATAGTAAAATTATACTAGAAATAGTATGCAATAGTTGCAATAGTATGCAATAGAAGTGGTTTTTAAATATGCAACATTCACCAACAGTCCAGCATTTATTTTGTGAACTAAATGCCTATTATGTAGCAGCGATGGTTCACCATTTGTGTACAATCATGTCCCACATTGGTTAAAGTGTGAATCAACTTTGTTCAACCATTTCTCTTACATATACTGATAATAACAGCAATGTAGGAGTTACCTCTACGATGGCATGCGTGACAGGAGAGTAGCCATCCTGACTGAGGTACCAGGACACCCTCAGACTGGTGGAGGTGGCGTCAGACACGGCTAAACTACTTGGCACGGACGGAGCCACTAGATAAAGAGGCACACAAAACAGCATATTGGCCATCAGGCACAAACTATACATTTCTGGCATACATTTTGTACTATGAAGAATTCAAATACCGGTAATTTGAAGGTACATTGTACCATAGTGAGTTTGGATTCATTTAGATCTACATTCAAAACACAACACAACATGACATACATGTACATGTACAAAAAAAATAACACATACAAAATATAGAGACGCAAATAACATCTAAACAAAGAAATGCACATCATATTTACCTATAATGTTGACAGTTGAGAATTGAGATGGAGTTTGTCCATTCCTGTTCACAGCGACACATCTGATCCTAGTCCTGGTGGTCACACCTGTATAGGGCCATACCATTAATCATCATTCATTCACATGTCATCAATGAGGGGAGGAATGACTCTCACAAACAAGAAAACATTCAAGAATTCAGAGATTCCAAACCTCCTGAGAATTTTAGATATCACTTTAACAGAAATGTTACCAGTAATGCTATTTGGCATGAAGATGGGTGATATCATAATTATTATACAGGCTAAAAAATCCCTTCCTAAAAGTAGTATCATAATGGTATAGTACATTAGGACACCTCCTTTTGATAATAGATGATCCATATTCAGCACAGGGGTATTTTATTTCTATACCTGAAAAGATATAAATGACACAGATACAATGAAGAAAAAACCAACATCATAAGGAACTCAATAACAGTACCTTTAATTTCCACTGAATGATATCTCTTTCCCTGAGTGCAAAATATGCAAATCGGTAACAAAATCAAGTTGTCAACATAGCTGAGAGAAGCAAAATTTACCTGCAAAAGAATATGTAGATGGGGAGGGAAGGCCCACTGCTACAATCTCTCCATCCTTGTACCAGGTGATGGTGACTGGCTCTGGAGGCCCCGCCCCCGCACACTGTAGACTGAAGGGGGTGTTTGGGGTCACATTCAGGGACCTCGGATGGTTGGTAACAGTCGGAGGACCTGAAACAGGAAGCATTGTGTAATCCATTACTGACATACAGTCAAAACCGCCAAAAAACACTCTAGAGACTGACAGAACCAGATCTATGTACTGGACAGATTTTATACTCGGTTCTTGTTGCTTGTGTCGAAGGGAAAAATTATCTATTACAGTTACTATTATTATTATAAGAGACTACCAAAAATGTATGAGTGACTTGTACAGGTTTGACCTTAGGTAAGAAATTTGTAACTCTAAGAAACTTAGCTCAAAACAGTCAAAGGCACGTACATGTATCTCTAAATAAGAGTAAGAGGACAAGATTGCATAATATTTATCATATCAAAAATCTTCACCACAAATTGTATTGTCATAGTTTACGTCACACCAAATATACAGTAAGCTTTGTTATACTGTGATGTTGTTCCACAACCAACAGGATGTAAATTCTTTGCTGGTTAGTTTCCAGAGAGACCTGGAAACCTGCCAACTTCCTTGACAATGCCTAGAAACATCACTTGCGTAAATAATGTTTTATTCAGCTGCAAGGAACTAGCAGTTTCTTACAGTCAGCATCTGCAGCAACAATGCTGATAAGATTACAGCTTGCATTTTTCACACTCAACTTGTGACGAAGAAAAAGGATATTCCATGCAAAACATTCAAGAGGTCATCACGGTTATTTCAAAGTCATACTTTTTTGGGGGGAAGCAAAAAAAAAAGTTTTAGGGGGTATTTAAAGAAAAAAATGATGTATGTCAACTAGAGCTGTGTACCGGTACGCAGTACCGATACTGTACCGGAAAAATTGATTAGGTACAGGTCCAAAATACCTAATCCCTCAGTACCGGTACTGTACCTAAACAATTTCACACCAATTTTATGCCTATTTGTGACCTCAAATGTGTAAATAGCTGGTTAACAATGGGTCACTGTGTAAGGACAGTGTGTTCATGAAAACAAAAACATCTGTACTTTTACCTATATTTTATCTGAACATTCTCCATAAACAAAAATTAAACCTATATCAATGTTTTTCTTGTTATTACAGGAGTTCAGAAGAGCATATACATTGCTCGAATTGTTCAGGTACAGGTTCAGGTCCGGACCTGTACCTAAACCTGTGTACCTGTACCTGTACCTGTACCTAAAATTTGTTTAGGTACACAGCTCTAATGTCAACTCTAACAAAATTGTTGCCACACCCCATTAATGTTTGAGTGGAACAGCCACAAATGAATATCGAGTCTCTAACATAGCATTGAAGCAAATATTGTTCAAATAAAAGCTATTTATCAACTATGAAAATTGATAGCTACATGTAATCTTACGTTTGAATCCCAAATGTGATACAATTTATACAACACTGTGGCAATCAGAATACTGACTGTCAACACTGCAAAAGACTGCTAACTTTCAACGTACAATAACTTACATGTACATGTATTAAGCCAAACTTTAAGAACTCGGTATTACCAAAGACGACCAGTTGAGCTGTCTCTGAGAAGATGACCACATCCCTGTGCCATGCTTTACACCTGTAGAACCCTCTGTCTGCTATGGTTGTCTGAGAGAAACTGGAAGAACAATAAAATCATGATCAGCTCAGAAAAGTGTTGTTTGTCCATCAGCATCGCAACTGAGAGCACAGCATTGTTGTGATAATTAGGCCACACCAATTAAATTTGTTGGTTCTCGGATTCGCCTCTTCGTTTTTTTCTGATTTGCAAAAAAAAAAAATTTGATTCTGGTCCTGAATCAACTGAAAAATGCTCATGTTTTGCCCCCCAACAGTTGAGGAAAGTCCTTTTCTTCCTAGTTGTTACAGTTTTCCCATCTATCATTGCAGTGGTTTGATTAAAAGTTCAAAATTCAATGTTTAAATTTTAACCCAGCCTTTTGTGTTGACTTCATGGCTCATTTTGTAGCATTTAAGCCTATAATAGGATGCCTAGACCTGTTTTTATTTTTATTTTTTTTCGCCCTGTCGCTTCATATTTTTTCTGAAAAAATCCGAGAACCAACAAATTAAATTGGTGTGGCCTTATGTCACAATGCAATATGACAAAGACAAAGCACATTTGCTCATGTTGTGTGCCTAAGCTAAGAAAACTACAAGTATCATATAAAGTTGATTTGATTTACCAATCTCATGAAACTACTTAGGACTAGCTTCAAATTTTCTTCCTGCACCTACGTATGGTGCATAGTGCAGCGCTCATCTCTGTTTCTGTAGCCCTTGGGCCACACAGTCGTGCAATCACTATAGCAGGGGACTAGTCCACTGGAAGTAGTGTGTGTTTAACTCCGCCCATACACTTTTCCAAATGCTGATCTCGAGTGCTACACAGAGAAAGCAGTTATGTCTTTGGTATGACTTGGCTGGGGATCGAACTCACGACCCACTGGACCTACTGAACACAATGCGATCACTCTACCCACTCAGCCATCCAAGCTTTGCTGACCTAATGTTTAAACTTTAAAGCAAATAAACACCGTCATAAATAAAGCTGTTGGCAGAAAACGTAAGATCGGCAATCTGATAACTATTTATTGCAGGTTACAAAGGAGACTTTTATTGCACTTACTCCAGACTGCTGAGTGTTAATGCTGTGGTGTAGTTGGCAGTGTCGACCTCGTAGTGGTTACCAGGTGGTAGGTCCTCCCCATCCTTCAGCCAGGCTACCTGTGGGTTGACACTATTTAGTACACTTGTAGCGTCTTCAGCTCGGAAACCAAGAGTTCCCGGGTTCGAACCCCACCTTGTCACCCATCTTGTACCCTTAGGAA